AAATTGGCCTTGCGAACTGAACGCTCCACTGTGGCCCAATTGATAAAGGCACGTCAGGCTATATGGTGGTTCTGTATAGGATACAGGTTCAATTCCTGTTGGAGGACACAAATTTTCGATGAAAATTTCTCGGACATTCAGGCTGGTAAATGTCAATACTGTTTATTATAAACAGAGCATTTACTTAAATATTTGTATCTATAAAAAAGAATGTATAAATATAAAAAACATGTTAAAAAAAATAATTTCATGATATATATATATATATATATATATATATATATATATAATTATTATATAAAATTAAAAATGTGTATTCATCTTGACACAGAAATTACCATGTTTCAAGACTAAAACCTTAATTTTAAATTAAGCCTTAAATTTGAAGTTCAGTTTCATTTACAAGTGATGCAGAATAACTGATTTACTCTATTTATAAGCTAAATAGTATTATATAGTTTCAGTTGGTAAAGGAATGAGGATTCAAATTTTTTTATTAAGGGGATGTTGTTTTTTTATGTATTACCCACCTAACCTTAACAGATTTTCACTTTGGCAAATAAAATTATATTTGTATTTTGATTTGTAAAAAAAATTTGCATCCAGAAACACAAAACACATTAGTTCTTCACTATAACAAACTGACCAGAATTTTGACTTAGGGAATGCTGCTTTGATTAAAAGAGAAAATAATCCACTGACATGAAAATGTCTGGAAAGTGCTTTGGTTGCTAGTTCAGCCGCGGTTAACTTGTGTCCTGGCTCTGAGAATATATCACCATTCTTGGTAGATTTTATATTGTCACAGTGTAGGATAATCAAGAACAAAGTCTTGGTTGAAAAGGATCCTTAAAGAAAAATGCCTTCCTGTATTTTCAAAATTATATATATATATATATATATATATATATATATATTATATTACTTGGCATAAGTATTTGTTTAAACATATTTTGGTTCTAATCATTTGGTTTTGAGAATTAAAAACAGGAACGTAAGAAAAATTTTTTAATGTAAGGCATCTATTTAATCAGGTTTTGTGATTTTGAATAGAAAATTTCTGGAAAATTATATTAAAAATTAAAAAAAAAAAAATTATACTTTCTGTCCACTTTTCTGAAAAGGTAGAGTGTGATATTATTTATATGCAGACTATTGTCCTCATCAATTGTTATCACAATGTTTCATCTCATTTAGTTCTTTATTCGGTATTGCTTAGTTCATGCTCACCCTATTTCCACTGAATCCAAGTACACACTGCCCAGCCCAGAGATTGAACTCAGTTACTGAGGAATAAAAAATATTTTAAACTTCATATATATATATATATATATATATATATATATATATATATGACAAAACTTCAGGTTTTGGCTGGTTATTTTGTTTTTTATTGATTAAGTCTTTTATTGTTTTAATCAATAAAATACAAAACAACCAGCCAAATATTTGAAGAAGGAATTTACAGATACAGGAATTGCCAGAATGAAGACATTGGAGAAACTTCAAGAGACTATATGAACACAAAAGAGACATTTTAAATAACAACACACAAAATGCATTGGTTGTTCACTGTGACAAAACAGACCACAATTTTCACATAGAGAATGCTCCTTTGATTAAAAGAGAAAATAATCTACTGAGACGAAAATGTCTGGAAAATGACTTGATCGCTAGTTCAGCTGTGGTAAATTTGCGTGCTGATTCTGAGAATAAATCACCATTCTTGGTAGATTTTCTGTTGTCACAAATGGGGATAGTCAGGGACAAAGGTGATGGAGAGAAAAAGAATCCAGATGAATTTGGCTAGACTCAATGTTTCCCCTCTACTAAGGTGGTTAGCAGATAACTGCTCACATACATTTGTGTTTATTCAGCACTTACAAAGCCCACCTGTGGTTTATACTGCTACTATGCTGAGCAGACGTTAGTTACAGTTTCTGGGAAAGAGTGCATTATCTAGTGTGATCAACAGTCTGAACAAGGCCAGCACGCTCAAACCCTCGGTTACGATGCCTTGTGTCTCCAAGCTAGTGTAACCATTGATGGGTCCTAAAGAATTCCATCTAACCAGTTTCACTCACAAAGCTTTGGTCAATCCATGGAATGGTTTCAGGCACTTTCCAAAGGTGTAATTGACAGATAACATCAAGAATTCACTTTTCTGACAAATCAACCATAGCACAATTCAAACCCAGGTCTCATAACCTTCTAACCACTCGGCCACATACCAATATATATATATATATATATATATATATATATATATATATATATACATATAATTATATATAACTAGACTCGTTTCGAAAAACCCTCGAATTTTTGATTTGCTAATGATCAAATCAATCTCGAGGGAAAAAAAGGTTTTAAAAAAAGGAAGAGCTACAAACATGAACTTCTGCCGACAAAAAAATCGCACAGATACAGGTCTGAAGCCCCCCAAAAAAAACCCAATACGAGTAAACAACTAACAAAGCACTCAATACAACCATAGAGCAGACCTAAATACACCTAGTGAGCCAGACAAACCTACCTAGGTTTCACCTAAACGGATCGTCAGGGAAAGTAAGGCTAACGAGGCGAAGAGAAACGCATATTTATAGCTGATAGCTAAAATCATACCACGTGACCTTACTTACTTTCCCTGACGATCTGTTTAGGTGAAGCCTAGGTAGGTTTGTCTGGCTCACTAGGTGTATCTATATATATATATATATATATATATATATATGAGTGGACATTGTTATTTTGACATTTGATATTTGTCAAAATGACAAAAACTCATCTTTGACGGTGGATATCTTTGTTTCATGTCTGTATAACCACTTTGAGGTTGGCTCATGTGAGTCAAAAGCTTTAGGACCAACTTAATAAAAACATATCTAAATGTTGGACAATTTTTGTCTTTCTTTTCACCAGAAATTAAAGCAAAACATTCAAACATTAGAACAGCTTATGATCAGACATAATAGTCATTCATTGTCTGTTATATTTAATAATATGTGCTTAAATAATGATCTGCTGCCCCAAAACATATATATATATATATATATATATATATATATATCCAGGTAAGATGAGAATGAATAGAGTACAATTCCAATGTTCATAACATTTAATTTAAAAGAGAGCACAATACTAAGTAGAGCAATATTTATTTTAGGATATTACACCGAAAACATGTCAAAATTGCTACACAATTGGAGTTGTGTTTCAATGCGTATCAATGCATCTTATCAGGACAATCACCTGATGAGATGCATTGATATGCATTGAAACATGACTGCAATTGTGTTGTGATTTTGACATGTTTTTGGTGTAATATCTTAATATATATATATATATATTATCTGTTTGAGAGAGAGAGAGATAATATTTTTGTGCCTAATGCTTTTAAAACTGCATCTGCTACCTCCTACCAAAGAAAGAAAAAATTTTCAGTGAATTATGTCTTTCTGCTATGGTGCAGATCTTGCAATGTGGCATTCCTGCCACCAGTTCTCTCCAAGACTGTAATTCTAGCCATTTTTAAATCTGCAGTCTTATCAGTTCCAGGCAGCATCACTTGGCTGCATCACAACAAAAACAACTACATGAAGTAGAAGCAGAAGAACATAGTCATCATAGCAGTGGCAGAAGCAGTAGAAATCTCAGGCTTTTCTCAAAATTGTTTATTTCTCTCTTTGGTTGTAAAATTATTCCAGACTTTATAGCAATTGTTTGGAATTGCACATAAAATGCTTTATCTGTTTGCTCATATAAAAATATACTTTATTTGAGTTTATTTTCTTCATTCCAAATTCGACAACAAATTTATGATTGCAGATCAAAGACTGAACCACATTTTTTTTTATGTATTTATTTCTACCTACCTACCAATGATATACATTATGTTTTTTGCTTCCAACATGTCAGTAAAAGACACTGACTCTCCCAGCCATAAATATTGATAAAATAAAGCACCATGGTAACTGAAGAATTTATTTGCATTCACAAACAAAAACAGCAAACCATTGGGTCCCAATAAAGACATTAAAGATTTGTACTTATCAATACTACAATGTGTGTAATGTGTTCATATCTTTGTAGACATTTTTCCAGAGGAAATATAGTGTACAGGTCTAGCTATATTTGCTTCTTCCAAGGCACATTTTATGGCATGGAGGATTTATTAATAATGACAAAAGAACGTCCAAGACCAAAATTTCAAGAATGCAAATCAAAGAACTGAAGTTAACTGAAAGCAATCAAGCATTTTTGGCTGAAAGGAAATTTTTCAATAAAAACATAGAAATGAAAAAAGTCCAGGAGCGATGAATTGACATTTACTAGATAAGAAATACTTTTCCTGCAGAAAGAAAATTCACATTTTCAGGTTGTTGAAAATTTCAGATATTGCTTTTTTTTTCCACTGGAATATTGAATTCATAAGTAAGGTATTCTGTTTTTAAGTTTCTCTTATCATAAATTGATTCTTTTGGACCAGTTTCCTTATCTTTGTTGTCTTTATCACAATGTTCAGAGAAGAAGTGTTCTTGCTATTATACATTGATTTTTTTTATACTTATCTTTGTAAGAATGTTTTAGTTACTGTACCTTTTGTCCTATCTGTGAATTTGTGAACTGAGCTGATTGTCTTCATTATCTTTCGACCATTAATTCAACTGTAAATTTCTAAAAAACAAAAGTTTGGTGTAATGTTTTCCTTTCTAGATTTATTGCTCTAAATGTGCTGCTTTTATTCTATTTATAAATATCAGTTTTATTTTTGTATCTTTAGTGGTTTTTCAAGTATATATTCATTAATCTTTATTATAACCTTTTAGAAACTAGTTGAATTTAGGGTTATGGCCACATCACATTGGAACACCTGTTCCTGTACAATCACCAAAGTTAAGCAACATTGAGCCTAGTCAGCACCTAGATGGAAATACCAGGTGCTGTAAGCTTAGATATGTAGATGGTGTAATTGATAATGGCTTGGTATTTTATAGCCACATCACATTGAAATACCGGTTGCCATACAAACACCAAAGTTAAGCAACATTGAGCCTTGTCAACACCTAGATGGGTGACTGCCTGGGAATACCAGGTGCTGTAAGGTTAGATATGTAGATGGTGTAATTGATAATTGTTCGGGATTTTATAGCCACATCATATTGAAACACCGGTTACCATACAAACACCAAAGTTAAGCAACATTGAGCCTAGTCAGCACCTAAATGGGTGACTGCTTGGAAATACCAGCTGCTGTAAGCTTAGATGTCTGGTTAGTATAATTGATAATGGCTTGTTTTTTTTTAATTGGGGGGGTCGAGTTCCAAGTCCAATCAGGTTTATTATATTCACTTATGTGCAAATACCTCTGTGAAAGGTATGAAACCACTTCATTTTCCACCAGCTATGAGTTAATTAGTAAAACTTGTAAATATCACAAAGTCATTATTAAATTAAAAAAAATTCTTACAGTCTAAAAATATTTTCTGGTTTTAAATAACCTGCAAAAGGTTGATAAACAATAGAAAATAAATAAATGAAGAAATTAAATACTGATTACCAACACAGGCATGGCTTTTAGATTTATTTACATTCTCTGGAATATAAATATATAGCAACTAATGTGGCCATAAAGTGAGGGATGAATTTATATAGATTTTAAATGTAGAATTGAACCCCCACTTTATATTCACATGATGACTTGTTTGTTTATCAAATTCTGATTGGGTGACCAATTTTTATGATCCTTAACGAATTGTAGTTTCACTTTGTTTTTCTTACCTGATGTCAGAGTCACTACCACAAGCACAACCAGCCTGACCTGTTGATATAAACCAGGTTGGATCCATACTTTCATGGTGGTTTTGCCAAATTCTGGTTCTACCATCTGGTTCATTTGATTGTTTCAGCAGAAATAGAGACATATCAGACCAGGAAGTGTTTTCCTAATCTTGTACAGATTTTGTGATCCTTAACGAATTGTAGCCTTAGTTTCCTGTTCTTATCTGGCAGGAGAGGCACTTGGTGTGGTCTTTTGTTGCTTTAGCCCATCTGTTTAAGGGATTAACATGTTGTGTGTTCAGAGAATCTGTTCAGTATAGTGGTTATTTGAGCCACTTCTGTCTTTCTATCAGCTTGAAGGATTCGGACCATTCTCTTCCAGTCTCTTTTATCAAGAAGCGATTTCTGCACACAGAATTGCAATTCACTGGATTTATTTTCTTTTACTCACCATTCTTTATAAGCCGAAGATATAGTTTTATGTTTAAATCCTTGCAGATCAACAGTTTTTGAAATACACAAACCTGCCTGTATGGCACCAGTGACCATAACTTATTCAAAGTCACTTAAATAACCTTTTTTTCCCAAAGCAATGCATGAAAGCAAATTCAGCAAGCCACAATTAAACTACTGTCATGTCATCAGCTGATTAGATATTTGCATAGAAGATCATTTGTTCATGCGTACTTAAAAACAGCATTTTTTACTTAAGTAAAAAAAGAAAATACAATATCTGTCTATATTTCTGAGATGTGATATTATGTACGGTATTTACATTGTTTGGACTATCATCCTCATCTTTGTTGTCATATTTATCAGAATGTTCAGTTCAACATTCCAACCACCTGAAGAAGGCTGGAGCATACAACAGCCGGAACATTGTGATAAATATGGCAACAAAGATGAGGACCATAGTCCAAACAATGTGAAAAAAACAATGTATTTAATTAAGTGGCCAGTGAGTGTATATTATTTTACAAAGTATACAATATATAGAGATATATCATTTTTTTCTAAATGCTATTTCCTTTTTCAGATATATGGGATCATGTCTCTCCACAGCTTTTTCTTTATTATCTGTAAATTACCATGACTTTTTAGGAAAAATATTGAAATGATTACCAACTGCTTTCTCCAAGGCTTTGAGTTGTTCTTCTGCCAGACTGGTTGCCACAAAAGGCTGCAGAGGCTAATCTTCTTTGCTATTTAACCTATAGCTGGGGGGAGAAGAGATGCTGGAATTTGAACACGATTCACTGATTCTGCTTTTTGTGTGAGAAAAGAAACTATTAGAATTGAACAGACAGTTGCATCTATCTAGTTTAACTGTAAAATGATGAGCCCTAGTGGCCAATTTAGTAGGATGCTTAAATTTATGCAGTTGAGACTCCAAAGTGGAAAGCTCATCAGAACAATTGCTATGAAAATATTTGTAGAAAAGACAGAGGGAAGTGACTGAAGTAGAGATGCCAGTTCTTTGAATTTTGTCAAGAATCTTGAGATATATAGCTGAAGCACCAGACCAAATAAGGCAGAAATATTCAATGCACAGAGGAATGGTAGATTTATAAATGCACAAGATAGATTCACATATATATATATATATAATAAAAAGGCTTAAACACTAATATTCCATGGTTATAATTTATTATGTTGGAATCATAATTACGATCCAATTCATCAGACATACAAATTCAAAAAGAAATCAGAAAAAATAACTCCAGGAATAAAAAATAAAATTTTTTAGTGATGGTGTATGTATGAATGAGAGTAGGGGGCAAAGATGAGAGGTAAATGAAAGCTCTAGAGAGGGGTAAAATGCCACTTAAAATGATGTGTGTGTATATATATATATATATATATATATATATATATGTAATCATTTTAAGTGGCATTTTTATGGCTTGTAATTCAGCTGTATAGATGGATGCAATATTTGGAAGATGGCAATTGATGTTGCATTTAAATTTTTGAAGATTGTAGGTGGCAGGGAGGCAAGAAAGTTTCACAGATGAGAAATGCAAGGAAAGAAACTATTAGACTATAATAGACAGTTACATTTAGCTAGTTCAATAATAAAATGATGGGACCTAGTTGCCAATCTAGAAAGATTGGCAACTAGGTCCCATCATTTTACTGTTGAACTAGCTAAATGTTTAAATTCATGCATTCAAGGCACCAAAGACAAAAGCTCATCAGAACAATTACCATGAAAATATTTGTAGAAAGAACAGAGGGAAGCTATGTGATATAGGTGAGAAAGTGACTGAAGTAGAGATGCCAGGTCAGAATCGATAACATTACAGACCCTTCTTTGAATTTTGTCAAGAATCTTGATTGATTTTTTTGTCTAATGGCATATAATAAACTCTTTATGGGTCATTTAATACTGAAATTTAATTTTCTTGGAAGCTTTGGATTAATAAAAATATGATATATATTATTCTGTTTTCACAAATGAATACATGGCAGATGATACTCTGCTTTTGTGCATATACATGCTTGTGTGGACTATGATATGTGTGTTTTATGTTGTAGTTTTATTGAAGTTATATTTTGGAATACGGTTTAAGAAATTGGCAGATATTATATGGATTAATGTCATGAAAGTGTTCTTTCATGTTGGTTGTTTGGTAGTGTTTTAAACAGATTTGGGTGAAGTTGTTACAATTTGTTAGTATGTGAGTATTGTTGGTAATTTTTATATATAAAAATGTATTACTGGTATTTTTACAATAAAACTGTATTTTTATACACTATTTGCATTATTTGAACTATTATCCTCATCTTTGTTGCCATATTTATCACAACGTTTCAGCCGTTGTATGCTACGGCCTTCTACAAGTGGTTGGAATATTGAACTGAACCTTTTATTTTGCTCACTGGGGTAGACTGTTCTAGTTCCACGTGCCATGTCTAATCAATGTCAGTTATCAGTTATCTCCTGTTAATTCCCCTGTCCAAGTTCTCCACCTCCTTAACCAGGTATTGAACTCACACTCTTTGATTCCTGCCACTGGATCTAACTAACACCTTTATCCACTGTGCTATATGTCATCAAGTACATATGGCACATGGAACTAGAATAGTCTACCCCAGTGAGTGAAATAAAGGTTCAGTTCGACATTCCAAACACCTGAAAAAAGGCTTCTCAGAAATTTAAAAAAAAAAAAATCACCATCACAATGGAATGCAGATTTTATAATGGTTACAATAAGTATGTCTTTGTAATTTACCCCTGGAGATGATCATGGAGGAGACTGAATGTACTTGGGTAGAACAAAACTATGGTGCCTCCCTTGATGTATTTTAACTGAACATTATATATATATATATATATATATATATATATATATATATATATATATATATATATATATATACACACAGACATATTTCATTGAATAATATACACATATTATGTCTATTTTTATACTGATCCTTTCCAGTTCTCGAATCAGTTTCTTGATGAAATTTTACTTTTTAATTTACAGCATCTTTGATGAATTTCATCTTAATATCAAGAAACTGATCAGAGAATTGGAAAGGATCAGTATAAAAATAGACATAATATGTCTATATTATTCAATGAAACGTTTTATATATATATATATATAAAAGTGAATTTTGAAGTCAACACTTACAGGCGACAGTCTGTTTCATGCTGGACGCAATTGTCAGGCCACGAGTGCTGTTATTTTTCTTGGCTATTTATATATACGGGTCAGTGGTGCATTGTGGATAGTCTATTTTGGCGGTTATTTTGCCAGAAGTCATTTATTTGTTTATTTATTTATTTGGGTTAAATTATTTTGCTTGTCATTATTTATTTTTTATTTTTATTTCTTGTCGTATATATTTATTTTTGTATTTTTATTTTAATCGGTGTTTTTATTAACATAGTAAAAATTTGTTTATATTGTTTGTTTAATAGTTTTGTTTTGGTTTGAGAAGATAATTAAAACTAATTATTCAATTTATTTCAATTGTTGTAGTTTATTCTGACTATTATTTTAGCAGGAGCAGTTTTTAATTTGTTTATTATTTCATGTATTTATTTTGTTGATTATTTTTATTTGTTTTTTCTAACGGTTAATTTATTGGGATCGGTTTGTTAGTTTATTTATTTATTTGGATGAATTTAGATTAATTTATTTTATTTGTTTTTTATTATTTATTTATTATACTGTATATTTTTATTTACCTTTTTCAGTTTTTGATTTTTAAGTAACGTAGTATATTTTTTTTATCCTTATATAAGAGTTACAGCTATGTTTTCCGTCCGATTTTTGGTTTGATTTTTATAGTCTAACTAATATTTTAG